CTAGAGGAGTTAATCCCAGCAATAAAAGTCCCTGAAACCAAGCGTGCCGGTGAGTGAAGACAGCACCCCGCCATCCTCACACGGCACCAAAGCTGTGTTCGTGTTTGTTGAGTTGTTCATGTCTTTACCTGTGATGATGTACCTTGAAGTAAAAAGTCCCTTGAGACTTTTTAGCCCGTTAAGGCTGACTGGAGGGCCTCCAGCCTCTGACCCCACAAGGACCCCACCCCGCCGCCGCCTCACAAAGCATGTGCTTGGCTGTTAGCAAGATGCGGTGTTAGAATGTTTGGGGGTTGGCTGGTTGGTTGGTTGGTTTTGTAAATCCCATTGAAGGATCCTTCTTCTGCCTTCTGGGACATATGAAATAAATCCCTTTCTTTTCTATGTATCAGCCCTTCAAAGAATTTGAAAGAACTCCTCTAGGTCACTAGTTTGTCTTCGATACTTTAGCTCGTGAACCTAAGCTCCTTAACCATTCCTCATATGGATGGTTTCCAGAACTCTCACCCACTCTGATTCCTTCTCGTCTGGATTTTTATGGATTGCATGTGCACTTCTTAATATAAAATATTCCATTTTTCTGTTCTGTGATGTTTTAAGGCACTCTTTCAGTTTCCATTTTATATGCATCGCTATAATGTCTGTCAGCTTCCTGCATGTCATTTGACAGTCTACAAAGATATAATAAAATTTCAAGTGTGATCAAAGTGTTAAAATTATTCAAAGAACATTATATATTCTAGCAACTACAAAAGTAACCAAGCAACTACAAAAGTAACAAGCTGAGTCAAAAATACAATCTGGGGTGCCAGAAAATAATCATTAGCCATACACTTCTTAAAACTGTGTTGTTCATTATTTTAACCCCAAATGTTCATTCATTAAGATGAAAATAATAGTATCATTTATGCACCTAATCAGAGTACTCAGACTTAGTATCTATTAATTTATCCAACAGCTAGTGACTCAGGTATTGTTGGGATATAATAAAAGGAGGTTTGTTTCTGAGACAAAGCCCACAATGCATTTGGTGTTTTAAGAATCAGGTAGTTAACCAAGTGATAGTGTCAAACATTCCAACCAATGAGGCATTTTCAAGTCTTCTTTTTAAACCCATCCCCCAAAAAGTTGAACCAATGCCTATCTAATTCACAACGTAATCCCCAAATTAGATTCTTTTTTTGAATCCCTCCTTTTCCAGCAGTTACTAAGTGCCACTGAGAACATGTGTAAGGCTAATGGGTTTGCACACGACTTATTTCCTAATGAGAAGAGGGACGCAGACGTTCCACACCTGCCAGGGTCTCCACAATGTGCTGCTGTGTGGAGCCAGGCTGCTTGGAAGTGAATTGCAGAGGCCAGAGTGAGATGCCGCCAGGCTGACGACCATCAGCCAGGTGTGCGGAGGGCAAACTCAGGCCTCGTTCCTGCACAGCCAATAAAAGCAGCCGTGTCAGAGCACCGGGATGCCAGATTTCACTCTCGGCCGTGGTCTCACAGTCACGACAGGATTGGACCGAGAGGAGGATGAGATCTGGCGGCTGCTACACCACAGGCAGAGAGCACAGTTGGCAGAAGGACTTACACTCTTTATTTGGGCAGCTACAAAAGAGGGACTCCTGCTGTCCATGTGTGAAGTTGGTAAGAAGCACAGTGTGCCGTTGACAGAACTTCACCCAGATGCCAGAGCAAGATTTGCCGTGCGTTTCAGACTGCTCTTTCATGATGAGGACGCTGCAGACAATCTGACCATCTGTTCCCACAAACAAGTAGCCTGCTGCATGGATAAAAACACACCCACACTGCCCAGAGCTGATGGAAGCCTTTTGTTTTAAGTCCTCACGGGTATTTTTAAGACATTCTGCTTCGAGTCCAAGAATGGGCAGTAACTGGTTTCTCGTCTTCATCAACAAGCTATGACTGAGGATTTACTTTGTAGTCAAAATGCTTGCCCACAAAGCACATTAGGCTGTAATTAATTTCTAAATAGCCTGGACTCGCAATCATAGAGGCAGCGTCATTTTAGGAGGTCTTGGTGAATTCTGGAGCAGACCTGGTAAGGTGCTTAGTGTTAGTTTAATCCAAAACTATGATGATAAATACTCCCTATTAGAATGGGAGAAAAGCAATGGCAGAGCAGCCGCCATGTAACGGGTACCAGCCGAATAGTGAGACTGCAGATGGGATACACACGCTGTGGCTTGAATGAGCGATGGGAGCAGCTTCCATGTGTGTGCTGCTATAAGAAATAGTCACTATACGCTCGTGAGAAATTCTGTCTCATGCATTCTGCTTCTTTTGTATTCAGGAGGTTTTTTTTTCTGATCCTTTTACTCATTTCATATTCTATTTCAATCCCAATTTTCTTTTGGGGAGCAGGTGTTCCTAGAAAAATACATAAACCCAATGGTTCATAACCCTCTTTTGGTCCAGATTCCTTTGAGGAGCTCAAGGTAACACTAGAAAAGAAATGCACATACGACGTGCAGTCTCAAGGGCTGCAGCCCATGAACCCACTGGACATTGTGGCCAGAGGCGAAGAAAGGACTCTGTTCTAAGATGTCTCACAGTAATTGCTCCAGTGTCCGTGGATTCAGGGAGAAGATTAGGCTGTTGCTTTCTTAGAAGCATACATGGAATGATGTCAGAGATCTGGAAAATGATTTTTTTTATTGGTTGGATAAAGAGAAATGGGAAAATATGGCTTAACCCAAACACAGGGAAATAGATCCTATTGTCTTCCTTCTAGCAAGACCTTCTTGGTACAGAATGACCAATTGAAAGCGCTGTTTTTCATTCTGAAATCTGTTCAGTACTGGTAAACTCAGTAGCGTGCCACCTATGTTTGTACAAATGGGTCCTACCCTGCAAATCCCAGTAAGATTTCATGCAAATGGCAGTATTTCACCTGGAATATAGGCCTTAGACACAGGAGTCAAGGACATGAGGACAGGGAGGCTCCTTTGCAGCCAGGAAAATGGGGATATTTGGGGAGCTTTTCTATAAACACTGTATTTCTATCTTCTATGCAAAATTACTATACTTTCAAAATAAAGGTATCTAGGAGATGCATAGTGAAGAAAACTGCCTTGGAAAATCTGGAATTTAAGCTTTTTTATTCATTAACTTTTTTAAATATATATTTTATTTATTTATTTATTTATTATTTTTAAAGATTTTATTGGGAAATAGGGAGAGGTGAACAGTGCTGGGAAATAAGGGGAAAGGGAACAGACAAGTTGCTGTTGTTTTGTTCTTCATTCTAGTTGTGGAGGATGTTGCTTCACTGGCCCAAGTTGGCACCATCATTGTGCTCGTCCTGGGTGAGGCGGATCAGTCGCCAGCTTCTGGACGGCCGCTCACAGTGGCTGCCGGCTACACATGGTAGCTTATGGCAGCCCACTGCAGCAGGGGCTGCAGCCTATGCCGTTGCCGGCGACCCACGGCAACCCAGCCCCAGGTGGAGCTGCCGTTCACTATCTTAGCTGCAGTACACCATCTTAGCTGCAGAGGGCAGTGTCACTGGCCCTCATATGTGGGATCCGAACCGGGGCCCTCTGGCCTCCCAAGCCAGTTCTTAACCAACGCGCCACTCGGCCGGCCCCTTCATTAAATTTTAAAAACTGTAACTAGGCACTCAATTTAATGATTCCCTTTAATCCCAAAATATGCTCCTGAAAAGTTTAGTACACTTAAAAGATTTTAGATGGATCATAGAATTTTTCAGATTACAGGACTTGTATGCTGAAAACTTTTATATACAAAGTAATCGCCACCCGATCTATCATTTTTGCAAATCCAGATTTTCAGTACTGAATTGGCTTAACTTTTTAAAACTTTAATGTATTACAGTAAAATAAAAGTTATGATTGGACCTTCATTTCAATTTTCTAAGCACAGTACATCTGATTAAAAATAAATTAGAGGGGCCTGCCGAGTGGCGCGATGGTTAAGATTAAGAACTGGCTTAAGACACCAGAGGGCCCCGGTCCGGATCCCACATATGAGGGCCAGTGACACTGCCCTCCGCAGCTGAGATGCTGAACAACAGCTCGATCTGGAGCTGGGCTGCTGTAAGTCGCTGGTGACGGCGTAGGCTGCAGCCCCTGTGGTAGTGGGTTGCCGTGGGCTACCATGTTTAGCCAGCAGCCAGCATGAGCGGCCAGCAGCCGCAGTGAGACGTCCTCCACAACTAGACTGAAGAACAAAACGACAGCAACTTGTCTGTTCCCTTCCCCCAATTCCCCAATAAAAATCTTAAAAAAAAAAAAATAGAAACTGTGGGTAATGAATAACCATTACATTGTGTTCATTTTATTTCTTTACTCCTATATTTTCTTTTTAAACTAAGTAATTTACTTTCATTAAAGTCTTCTCTATAATCCAAATATTTACCAGTGAGTTGATTATTCTCTGGGTAAAGTACAATTAAAACTATATTAATTGGAAATTACATTTGTAGACTTAAAGGGAAATTTTAATTTTTTGACTGAAAAGGAATCCAGTACATATTAGTTTGTGGTGCTTCTTCAGAAAAAATGTCATAGCTAAAAATGATCAAAGTAGAAATTTGATTGCATTAAAAAAATAGAATCCAAAATTCTAGAATAATGTCAATGACATCATTTCTGCCTGTTTGATTTTCTGAATTTTATGATGCATCTATTCCAGCCATAAATTATGAATACTTTAACAGAACCGAAAGTGCGTTTTGAATGATGACCCCTCAGTTCTGCTAATTTCAAAAACAAATACACTATGTGAACTTTTTGTTACATAACCCACCGACTTTAAATATATTTTTCATCAGCCTGAAGGTGTCTGCAGGGTAACTCCTCCTGCTCTGGTCCTCCTTTGTTTAGCAGGAGTCCTAGGGAAGAAGTGCCTAAAAAGCCTATTCCGCGAAAACAAGCAACATCTCTGTAGCTTATATTGTCAAATACAGCTGTGTCCAGGGTGGCATATATTCTTCTGTCTGTATGTTCTTTTCTTTTCCATAGGTAAATTCTCCAAGAAACATTCACTCAGAGATCTGACCACCACCCCCGATCCTCAGAGCCCAGCAGAGTTAACCAGAACAGAGCCAGAGCAGAAGGAAATGGGGCTGGAGAAACAGGACCTAATCAGGTGAGAATTCAATAAAACGCTTAATACACGTTAGCGAGGATGCTCAGCCTGCACTGAAAAATTCCCCCATCCCCCCACTTAGCTTAGCAAAGGCCAGGAGAGCCACAGCAGTCACATAACACGAGGGGACTGGCGAGGACCAAAAGGTTCCTGTCCAGTTCATTGTCCCTGACCAGCCACTCATGGCCACTCACCGGGATCTGGGCAGCCATTTGAGTGCAGGTCAAATCTCACCAAGAGAAGCAGCCTGCATATTTACTGGGCAGGAATTCTGAAAAGAAGGAATGGAAAAGGATGTATGATTCTTGTCCAAATTCACAAAGAAATAGCTATTCCAATTCTGTAAATATTGTATTGTTCCAGGAGATGGATTATTATTTCCTTTTATCTGCTAAAGAAAGTGTGGCATGATAACCAAGTATAATTAGAGAAACGGGTAATCTGTATGCCACTGAATGAATACAGTTTTATAAATACTTCCCACAAAATTATTGGAAATATTACAAAAGAGATGGCAATTTCTTTTGTGTGAAGCAGTGAATCCACAATAAAACGCAACTAGGAGCCCTCGCCCTGACACTTCTTGGCGTGTTATTATGTGCCTGCTGTTCTAATTTGAATGCTTAACTATAGTTAATATAATTGCAATGGGTTTATGAAACAGTAAAAGTGCACTCTTCATATTTAACAAGCAACACAAGAGTTGTCATTTAAAAAGAAGTTAAAAGTACTTCCTCCCCCCACCAACCCACTTGGCTCTCAGCACTTCCTCCACGGGGTTAAAATGGTGCTACCAATAGGCGCTACCATGTGAGTCTAGGACGCATGTCCTGCAGATTGAACAACGGGTATCAGAAAGAGAGTGTGTTTTCAGTAAGCCCAGATTTGGCTGTGTGTGGCAATAAACACAAACTCTACCCCACACGCAAGGAGATGCTGTTTAACCAAATTTAAACGTGGCAGAGAGAAGACATAGAATCTTACCACTGGGGTAAGTAATTCTTTCTGTTCTTTTCATAACTGCTGGTGTTTACAAATGGTTTGCAGTCCGATTGGTGGGCGTTATTGTCTTCACAGCTAAGCAGCCAAGGCACCAAGAGGTCAGTAGCGCTGTGTTAATGGTCCCCCAGCCCATGTCAGACCGCACAGGCAGCAAATCCCAGAGTGCGCCTCTTCCGTCTTCCCACCAGTACGCACCATTCGCCTGTAGTCAGTAGCTAAACTTCTAAACCAGTCTCTCTTCTTCACACTTATTTTAGTGTTATTTAATTTTTTGTAATAACCCTGTTGATAGGTAGATTTTCAAAGGCCTAAAAACTAACATTTTAAGGGATGTAGTCTTCTTATCCCATATCCATCCCCCAGGACAGTACTTTCATGCTACTGAAATGTGCAAATGGAAGCCTTTCAATTACCCAGAAAGCGGGTCAGTCAGCATATCTCAAAGCAGAGAACTTCCTGCCATGGCTGTAAGGCCCCGCCTGGTCTGTGCCCCACCTGTTTTTACCTTGTCCTCTCCCAACACACCATTTCTCCCCTACCTCCCCATCTTTCTGCTCCAGTCACGCAGCCCTATTTCAGTCTGTTGTACTTGTGGATTGATTATTCTCTGGAATCACTGAATATCCTTTCTGCAACATGGACAGCAACGTGGCTTGAGAATCATTGACAAGCTGAGTAGATCGAAGGCAGCTTAAAGCTCTTGCTTTCTGGTTAGGTGGCTGGTCATGCTTTTCCTCAGGATTGAGTAAAAACCAGCTACATTGAAGGAGCAACTTAAAAGGGCCGTTGGGAGTTCCAGTGTCACTTGTAACTAATATGACACTGGGATTCTCAGGTTCCAATACTGTGTAGAAGCTACCAAAGCTGCCCTGTTGGATTTCATGGACATCAATGGTATGATATCTAGAATCCTAGAGGGCA